ACTTTAAAAAATTAATTTAAAGCTTTTAAATGCTAAATTATAATTTGTAAAAGAGAAGTTACAACTGTTCAAGAGAATTCCATGATCATGAACTTCTTTCAATTAATTGAAACTTTATTTTTCAAAGGTATAATTTTACCATGAAAAATAATAACTTTTCATTATGTGCCGAAATTTTCGGTGCCATAGCCTTTCCCACTGTTCTTCATCACCATATATATGTGACATTCTCCTTTTAGTGTTTTAATGGCAATTTTGATCGAGATTTAACAGCTTTGCCTGAAGTGACATTTCCAACGGTTTTGAAACCCTTGGGTCCACCCCAGAAAAAACAAGTAAATAAACAATCATGCAGGTTTTGAACACGAATGACATAATGCAGATGTTAAGCAGGATAACGTCTATGACGACATTCTTGACGGGTNATCATGCAGGTTTTGAACACGAATGACATAATGCAGATGTTAAGCAGGATAACGTCTATGACGACATTCTTGACGGGTTATTATGGTGTTGTTAATGGGTAGTGCTATGTAATAAAAAAATAAATAAGAAATAATGACAAAAACTAGAGCTTTGATTGGTGAACAAAATGGGAGAATACCAATTTGCTGGAGTTTTCAAAGTTGGCCACTAAGGCTCGGGGGANATACCAATTTGCTGGAGTTTTCAAAGTTGGCCACTAAGGCTCGGGGGGACCAGCACCCTTGTTAAATACGTAGTAGTTGTTCAAGAATAATTAGTGCTTTTCAACAATTGTGTGAACCCTAATCAGACCAGGATATAACTTAGACAAAATTACATGTGTGCCTCGAGTCTTAGTGAAATAACACAATGTTTCATTGAAATTCTAGAAATGACATGGAGATTACTAGTATTTAGAATCTTCAGTGAAAGTAATTAATGTGATGATCATTTAACCATTACAAAACTTCAAAACTCATGACTTTCCGCAGTAAATTTGACATATATATAATCCGTTGCTGGCAATTATATTTGTCTAAGAAGTGATTGTCCTTCCCTGCAAAGAATGAATGCGAATGTCATTCTACTTTACTCGGATCAAAACATAACGTTATGATATTAGAATCCCATTGCATGCGAACTATTATTTAAAATTATTGGCTTGTGCAGACATTATTGCGCACATTACATAGGGAAAAATACTTGAAACAACAATGCACACAATTATTCTTGACAAAGCACACATAGATAACAACACTCAATTCACCTCGGGTGATAGAACTCAGCATCAAAAAGGGACTAATTTACATTTTTGCTCGGTACGAGTGTGGCGTGTGGGTGGGGTTCAGGTCGCATTCATGAAAGAATAGAGCCAAACCTAGGATTTCTTTGCAATTCGAAGCAAATTGTTAAGGTAGTTTTACTATATTTATGGATACTTTTTACCACTGTTGTGTGTGTTTTTATTACTATTGTGATATCGAAGAAAAGTGATAAAAATAATAATTTATTTTTTTTGGAAGGTAAAGTGTATTAAAAAAAAACAAAAGAAATACAAAGGGTAATCACCCACACATTATACAATGACGTTACATAGGAGTCAAAGACAAACATCAAAAACCAAAAATGTCAAGGCATAAAGTAAAATTTTGTAAGAAATGCCCTGATTAAGAGTATTTCTCACAGAATTGTTGACATGAGTACATTGGTACACATAAACAGTGCATGACAACAAGCCAGCAACCATGACGGCCAACATAGAACAAAGCAAATCAGCCCAACAAAAACAGCACCAGGAAGCCATTTGCACCAATATAATCAGCACCAACAAATCAGCACAACACACCAAAGAAAGCCAGCAACCATGACGGCCAGCAAACACAGCACCAGGAAGCCATTTGCACCAAAAATCAGCACTAACATGTCATTTGCATAGCAGAACAGCCCAGCACTACCTAGCAAATCAGCAACTCAGCCCAACAAAAATAGTACCAAGAAGCCATTTGCAACAATAAAATAGCACCAGCGTGTCATTTGCAGAGCATAACAACCCAGCACTACCCATCAACAACAAATATGAAGAAGACAGCCCCAACAAGCAAGTAAGCCAGAAAAAAACGTACAGTAGTGAGGCTGAAGAAATAGCACAGCCAACAAAGGCTTCCCCCCCCCCCCCCCCCCCCCCCCCCCCCCCCCCCCCCCCCCCCCCCCCCCCCCCCCCCCCCCCCCCCCCCCCCCCCCCCCCCCCCCCCCCCCC